GAATAAGGACGTCATGTAATGTGGTGGCAGGTTATCCTAATTGGCATTTCAGACACTTTGCTGCAAACAAATGCATGATAAAATTTACCTCATTCAACATTAAATGACTTCACACATGGGGGTATAGAAGCTTTTACTGAAATAATTTTGTTGGTGGGGAAATGGTGAATATAAGATTTCAATATTGAGGCGAAGTTTTCCAACTCTTACTCCAATTACGATTTTGGCATCTCTACCAGAGAAATGTCAATCTTTTTCAGTTGATGCGACTGTTTGCCTATAGCTTAGCTTTCTATGCAAATGACGTAAAGCTATAATTGACTTTGAATTATTTTGCTGTTTAGTTTATTGGCATTTAAAAACAACATTTTTTGTCCCTCTGTCAACTCGAAATTATTTGGTCGCTGATGAAAGTGCACAATCCAACTTTTACACCGCCAGAATCCTATTTCAATCAAAGACATAATAATACTGCCGAAACATTATGATTTTTGTATTTTTTTTTAATTATTCCCGCAGCAAGTGAAAGAAGCATCTGTGAACACAAAATGCGTGGCAAATAAGTCGGATGGAGATAGTTGATGTAAGCGTGGGCGCTGAAAGACCAAATTCAATCCTTCCGCTTGAAGCTGTCGAATGTTTTAGTGTTCCAGAGTTTTAGGGTTCCGTAGACTTAGGCAGTTGGTAGCTTCTTTAATCTACAAAGCTTTTTTTGCAATGGAAGCAGACTTTTGTGCATGCAAGAAGGAAAAAATTTTATTTATGTCAAATGGCAGATGTTTTGATGGTTATCATTAGCCATTTAGCTAACTTGAGTCTTCACAGAAAGGATGAGGAACATCAAAGTGAAAAAGTCGAGATGGGGGGGGGGACAGAAGAATGTTTCAAAGATGTAAAAGAGACAGACACAAAGGTAGAACAAAGGTAAGTTGAGTACTGTGAAAAGAGTCGAATATGGCATCCAGCGGAGTGACGGTATTTTGAATTGAGAAGTCAACTGCCTGTTAATAGACCTTTTTGCCGTATGAGTATACGTTGCCCAGGCTGCCCCATGCGGAGGTAAGTCCAACGCACACCCCCCAGAAGGAAAATGATAAAATTTGACCTTTATTATTAATGTTTATGGTTAGAGTGATATTTCAACTTGGTCCAAGCAACTTTGTTTTGGTTTTGAATAGTTTAAATAAACACTTAATGCGCCTCATAGATTCGCCTTTTTTCATTAAATTGGCATTTTATTGTGCTTGAGAAAAATTAGAAGCTAACTATTAGTCATCAAGTGCCTTCATTTTATTTAAAATCTAATTTATTGAAGTGTTTGTTGACTCGAAATACTTTAACTTTTCAATAGTATATTACGATTCTCTATTAGATGTATGGAGTAACCTTATAATATACCTCCAATTTCTTCTACATTAATGCCGCGAAACGAGAGATTAAATCATGGGGCCAAGCATTTCAATGCATTTGAATTCCAAAGCGTTGAATTCTTTCGACTTATTAAAACAAGCAGTGCTCTAATTTTCCACACGTTCCGAAGCTCTGAATGTCTGAGTGATTTTATGTTCGTGATACTGGGAACGTATTGCGGGGGGGGGGGGTCGATTTTGTTGAATGTCATTTCCACCTTCTCGGATGCGTTGGGAGGTAAATGAAGCAGGCGCGTGGAGGAGCAAAACGATTATCTCGCATCAAATGCTCCCAATCTTAATGGAGCTTCTGAGCTAAAAGTTGACGCTTACCAAACATTTGAGGTGGCATGTGCGCGATTTCATCGTATACGCTTTCAATCAATATAAATGAAAATGAATTTGTAACTGCTATAATATTTTCCAAATGATTTATTTTTACTTTTAAAATGATGTCTTTGTGCTAGATTATTTATTTTTTACTATTATTATCATTATTATCTTTAAAAACCTACTCGAATTTGACATCATTTTTAATGGTTACGAAGTATTATTTTACTGGACTCAATTTATTGTGAATGCTCACGCGCGAATTTCTAAATTATCTTTAAGGTAGTTGGGGCTTAAAAACTGCTCTCATTGCGCTATCTTATTTTATTTATTTATTTGATACTTACCGAACTACTGCACAATTTATTTATATCAATTTACGCTGGTAAACGCTTCCGGACATTATGGTATGCACAATTCGTTCCAATCCATCCTTCCCCCACCCCACCCCCCCTCCCCCCTCCCCTCAAGGAACTTCCATTTGCGCGATGTCTGGATGTGCCAAAATGGTATTTCTCAGGGTTACATAAGCGAATGAAAGAAAGCTGAGTATTTGCCCAAGCCTTGCTAGGAGAAAGTTGTATTACATGACTCAAATGGTAGGCGACGAATCGTAGTCCCATTCTTGTATGCTCAAATTCACTAAAATCCATTACAGAGATGCAGCTACTCAGGTTCAAGGCAGGTGGGAAGGGGAAGGTGGATATTATGGCTTAACCGAGGCTTTTTTAACGACGAAATTAACTTACTTGCTTAGGCTTGAATAGGTGATGAACGAGTGACTGCGTGGTCAGGTAACAATTGCATCGATGCCTTTTCCACTGTTGATTTTTAAATATCTCGTGGGAGTGTGGAACCCCATTGAATGGGAAATCCAATATAAAGTGAACATTCAATTAGCCCTCCTAATGATAGTAATTTAATTTACAACCTGATGCTTGAAACCGCGTGATTTGTTTAAGAGTATAAACTTTGGTCTCAACATCAAGGCCAAAGATACGGGGGTAATTATGGTTGTAATCAAAGGAGACTTCTCATCTTTCTAACAGATTGATCTAAACCTGAATGCATGATTTCCTCTCAGAATTGGTACCTCAATCGGAAAGTTTCACAGGTCATGACCCCAATCACAAAACAATTTGTTAGCAGACTTTCATTTTTAATTTAAAATTTTGGGTTTTACGTGAAGAGCCTATTGCACAATGTGATTTTAATAATTTGACGAAACTGTTCCAGCACGTTTTGATATTTTAAAAAGAAAGGTATTCATTTCTTTCATTTCATGCATAAATACAACTTATATATTTTTGTTTTATATATTTGGCTTAAACCCCCCTCCCTTCATATTTGATTCTGGCATATTTACTGAAAGCTGTACCGCCTGTCACTGGCATGGTAATGGCATAATTTACATTTATTTTGAGATAATCACTTTTTTAGGGCCTTGAAATTGCTCAAAGTTTGTCATTTGGTCTTACTAAAAGTGCTATTCATATCAAATTCAAATTTACGGCTTTCTAGTTAAGTTATAATTGGTGTTAGAAAACTCATTTTTCGACGGTAGAGTGTCGCTCGTTTTTCTAAACTCCATTTGAATTGAAATCAATAAAGCTTTAACTATGATGCCAAAAATTTTTTATATTCAACTTGATCAATTTGTTTCCAGTTATTATATTTCCCAGCTACAGTGAATATTAATTTCATTAACGAATGCTGAATTTTCGTCATTTGAATAGGCTTCTGATGATTTTGAACGAATTTCTACGCAAAGCTTCTTGATTCAGTACGTCGGATCAAACTGCCTTAGAATAAATGCTGACGAACGTATCCGAGGATTTTCATGTAGACTCCTTCCAAATAAGCAACTAGTTCTAACTCTCTGAAAAAAGGGAGTATTTTGTTGGCATTCAAATGATATTGCAGAGATTATTGAACAATATTTGACTTTGCGCAATCCTCACACATTAGTTGATTTTAATGAATGGAAAGAAAACGTGAATTGAAATTGTCACTACCATAACTTTTCACCGGCTTGGTGTTCCTCTTGCAGTGACGACATCCGGACTTTCAATGGACGGGATAACAGGATCAGCAGAGCGTCAGACAATGCCTCCCTTGGCGACAATGGCGGGTACAGGACGCGCGGCACATCGCGCTCGATCAACAACTCTCACCGGAGGACTTCCACCGCCCTCCATTTCCGGTTTGCGTCCAACTGGCCGGCGAAGTTACAGCTACCTTGCGGGAGGCGCTGCTGCCTCCCTAGATCATTCGCGTGGACGAGCCCCACTTTCTTCTACAAATGGGTGGCGAACGACAAGAACTTCTTCGGAGAACAATCGTGGAAGTGCGACAGCGGAGGTTGGATCCACGCGACTATTGGATGAGGAATATCCTGACGTCCAGAGCTGGCTACAACCTGCGAGCACACTTCATTCTCCGGAACCGAAGGTAGACTAAACTAGATTTTAGATGAAAATGCCCCCCCCCCTCCCCCATCGCTGACCTAAGTGTTATTTGCGAAATATTCTTATTGTCTTGTGCTAAATAAACAACCTTAATATATATATATATATATGCAAGGCACCGGAAGTTCGTAAACAGCATGTCAAATTTTGTCATCTATGTATTATTGGTAGTTCCAGACAAAGATCCCTAAATTCTGTTGTCAGATCACCTGTGACCTCCAGACTTATTCACATAATGAATTAAAATTTTAATGCTCAACTTATGCTTTCTTACTCCTTAGTGGGATAGCATATGCCATTAGTCATTACATTATTGCATTTTCTGCATTCATTCATAAAAAAATTTGTCATTACAGATCTACTCCTATGAACAATTGAAGGTGTCCGCCAATTCGAAATTGAAGGGAATCGATAATCGGCATCTTGAAGATTATTTATCAAGCGATGACTTTCAGAAGCTTTTTAAAATGCCCCGAACAGCCTTCCAGCGCCTTCCAGAATGGAAGAAAAGTGACCTGAAACGTCGTCTTGATCTCTATTGATTAAACCCCTTTCCCATCTCCCTCTACTCTCATAAAATCTCCTCACCATTCTAGCTTCCCATATTCTGTTCCCCCCCCCCACCAATTTTTTTTTCACAGAAGATAAAAACCAAAAACTGCACTTTGACAATCGATAACTAATGATATCCGAAATATATGAGCCACGAAAATGCATCTGTATTTATGGTGACGATAATGTTGTTTATGATTTGAGCATGCAGATGTGTTATTAATTTTGTTCTCCCTCACCCCCCCCCCCCCCCCCCCCCCCCCCCCCCACCCTTCCACCGCCTCCCCCTCCTCGTCAAAAATCACGCTTGGGAAGAAAAAGCCAGATCTTGTGTGCACTGAAAGTCTTTCAGATTGACTCAGTTACATGCGAGCTTGTTTCTTTCTCCTTTAATTTCTTTTGTTTTGCTGCGTCCTCGTTTCCATCCAGCCAATCGTCTCCCTCTCCCCTTCCTCACAATTCCCCCCCCCCTCAGCTCCTTCTGACTTTCTTTTCACTCTTATGGTCCACTGGAATATGCTCCTTTTTCCTTCTTTTTAGTGAGAAATAAAAACAAGATTAGCAAGAGCAAAGTTTCACAATTTTGATTTTACTTGGGGAGGTTAAATTTGGTGGAGACTATTCCATTGCATTGACTTAACTATGAGTTAAAGGTTGTTAAAGGGAAAATTGTTAACTGAATCATGTGCTATGAGGTCGCGTTTAATTGAATAATGAAAACCCCGTTTCCTTATGATGCCCAGTAAATTAAGAAATTTCTCACGTCGTGAAAGGGTGTACTAGGTATGATGTAGAAAAAACAAAAAATTAATTCTGGTTTCCTTAAGAAACTTTAACAGTTTGTGTTTGAGTTACCAACGAAGCGATAAGCTGCAACAGGAAGTTCTTGGGTAGGGCGAATTGATTTAAACAAAAAATCGATATCATAAACATGCATTAAACAAGCAACCAATTGAGCTTGTAAATGAAACTAGAGGACTAAAGCAAACAAAAATGCTGGTGTTTTGACTATTTTAATGGAATATCACGAATGTATAAACAGTTACCTTTTTCGAAAAAATCAATAGTGCTACCGAGAAGGCACGGATCATTAATTCCTCTGACGTGTCTATTCTTTGAAGTTTTCTTTCCAACCTTAATTAGCCAATGAAAATTCCAAAACGTAAGGCAAAGAGTATCGAAGACGCATGAGGCATGTGATACGATGGAGTAATAAGATGAATAAAAATCGATAAACTCATTGAAATATGACGGATAGTGAGCGAAAGACGCAAGTAGTCTCACAGTGGACGTCAGCAAAGGTTGGTTCTAAAAAATATCATAGTTGGTCATTCTTCGGTCCGTTGCATTTCCACTTTTCCGAGTGGAATGTTTTCCATATAAACAAATTTTACAAAATTTTCTTTAAACCTATGGAAACCACTTGCATTATTTTTAAAAATACCCACTCTCGCTTAAACAAAAAGTGTCTTGTTTATTAATCACAAAACCACTCTCTAAAAATAGTATAAAATTCTAACTTCCCAATACGCAATATTTTATAATACGGAATAATTTAAATCACTCAAAACCAGTTAATTTAAGTAGTATATACGATATTATCACCCCACTACAGCCATTTACATCTTCAATTATTAAATTTATACTACCAAATAATCAATTAACAGGTTCAGTTAATATTTAGAGAAATTTGAAACAAATCATATTTACCTAACATTTAAAACAATTTTGAGAAAAAGGTAAATTATAATGAGGCTTCGATTTTGATAATGCGACAGAAAATTGATTCAAATCGTGAAGGCGATGTAAATAACTAATTTCATATTTAGACATTCAAATAGATGAACTAACTCCATCTGTGTTGGAGTTAGCGTTGAAAGACGTGACCTGCAAATGGCCATGTTGAATATAAATTGGAATTAATCAGTTGAGTGAATGCAGGCGAAGCGAGAGAAAGGAATTGAATTTTGATCTTTCATTCAAATTTCAGCCATTTTTCTCCAATGTCACTATTTAACTTGATCGTTTCAGCATTTTGGTTTTGTATTATTTCCTCTTCTAATATCACCTGTGCTTGCGAAACAAAAGAAATAAAAAGTAGAAATGCTCGAAATTGGAGTAAGGGCCTAATAATTTATCTTATTCATTTCACTCACTTTAATATTTTTAACTGGGGGTGGGGGGTGCTCAATAGACTTACCTCCACGTGGTGCAACCTGGGCAACGTATTCTCATACGGCCAAAAAGTCTATTAACCGGCAGTTGACTTCTGACTACAAACTACCATGACCTGACTGTATGTCACACTCGACCCCTTCCGCAGTACTCACCTTACCCTTTTTTCTACCTTTTTGTCTGCCTGTGAGTTTCTGTTACATCTATGAATAATTATTCTGTCCCCTCCCTTTCGACTTTTTGTCACTTTGATGTTCCTCCTCCTCCTCTCTGTGAAGCCCGAATGGCTAATGATAACTATCAAAACGCCTACCATTTGAAATAAATAAATAAATATTATTTACTGGTGCCATTTTTTTTGTCAAATTAAAAACATGCGGTATTTTGTAACATAAACAATTGTTTGACCATGGAAAGGTCAATCCAAGAATAGCACATTCTGCTATAAAAGCGGAAGCACCAATTTTGTGTTAGTAACGGCGTGATATTTATTAAGCATCGTTGCAGCAAATTCCCTTAAATATCATTGAACTACAGTAGTTGAAATGGATATTGCAATCTTTATTAGTAATTACTCGTATGTTTTAAAGTCTTAGATGTTTATGGAAATGAAAGTGTTGACACGACTTTGGTATTCTCGTTAATGTACGTCGGATATATCTAGTTACACGAAAATATTTTGCAAAAATATTTACGGAATCCTATTTTTATTTAGCTCAAGATGGTTCTAATACCAGATGTATCGCACAATGAGTGAATTGTGTGCCAAATATTTCTTCCAATGTTCCAAGAATGCTTCATAACTAATTCAAAATAAACAAACTATTTCGTACATTGTGGGCTTCCTCTCGCCCTCTCTCCCACAGTCCGTTTCGAAGTTATGCGACATGGAATTAAAAAAACTTTTTTTGACAATAAACCAAGCAAATAAAAAAGTGAAGAAATAGAAAAAAAACAAGGTTTTACATATAAAAAAATGCAATATTTATTTATATCAAATGGCAGGCGTTTTGATAGTTATCAATAGTCCTTCAGCTTACTCCAGGCTTCACAGAGGGGAAGAAACATCAAAGTGGGAAAAAAGTCGAGAAGGGGGAACAGAAGAGTGTTTCAAAGATCGACGATTTCGTAAATCATTTATTTATTTATATCAAATGGCATCTTACTCTCACAATGTTTTTATTACGCATATCATGTTCTCATTTACACATTACTGATCGGATAGGAAATGAAAAACAAATATCGATCTTCCTCTTTTGCATTTGAAGTTCGAAATTTATTTATTTATTAATTCATTTATTATTTAGGTGCTTGATGTAGTCTATATCAAAGAAATGACGTGTTAAGTGTACCTTTCGCCAATTCAATGAAAAGCGAAACGATTCACTCATTACTCAACCAACTTCAGAGGTCTTTCAAAGCCAATTTCTTTTAATATTATTGATTGATTTATTTATTTCAAATGGCAGGCATTTTGACAGTTATCATTAGCCCTTTAGTTGACTTCGGGCTTCACAGAAGGGAGGAACATTAAAGTGAGAAAAATTCGACAGGGGAAAAGAAGAGTGATTCACAGATGTAATAGACAGACAGACAGACACAAAGGCAGAGAGAAGGCTAGATGAGTACTGTGAAAGGGGTCGAATATTACATACAGTGGTGTCATGGTAGTTTGAAGTCAGAAGTCAACTGCCAGTTAATAGACTTTTTTGCCGTATGAGTATACATTGCCCAGGGTGTACCACGTGGATTTAAGTCTATCGCACACCCCATTTCTTTTAATATCGAATGATTTTGAAGTTATAATTACTTGAAGGCTGAAATATAACTAATTATCACAAGTTTACTCCGAAAATTTCATTCAATATCCTTACTTTAACCGGCTTAAATAGTTAACAATTCAAATTCATCTCTCAACTGTTTAATGGATGTTGTTAAACAAAAATTATAAAAAAAAATACAGGGAGCCACTGACAACACTTGAAATTACTTCCAAAAAGTTATGCTTCTACTTAAAAATTAGGGAGAGAGAGAGAGGGGGGGGGCGAATTCAGATCTGATTTATCAGTGCACATCATTTCTGCCCAAATACTAAGAAAATTTAAATCTGTTTCTTTCTGCTTTGGCTAATTAACGCACATAAAATATCATCTCCGTGGAAGCTGCATGCCCCAAATACAGGACGAAACATGTGCAGAAATCAGAGATGATGGGCGCTTAAATTTTTCCCTCCGCGAAAATGACCATTTAAATAAGCTATTCTACCCAAAATCTACCTTTTTACTTTTTAGTTATTTAGAAAAGGTAATCAGATGTCATTTAACAGAATCACAACAAAATTGCAAAATAAACTTATCCTATTTTTTCTCTATATGATATATATATATATATTGCACAATTTAAAGATTCCATGATATCGATAAGATCCCAAATTTGTAAGTAATACATTTCAATTTATTTTCTGGGCCCGTATAGTCTTCAGTATGATCAATATTTTTGTCCCAAAAATAGCTGGCATTTATTGGTTTTAGCTCTGAAACGCAAAGTTATTCTTAGCTCAATTAGTCATGTTGTCTCAGTGTCTTAAATACTTCCAAGTTCCTTCTGTCCTGTTAGCCAATTAGTACACTTTTTAGCCGTGTGAGTAGACTTTGCCCAGAGTGCACCACGTGGAGGTAAGTCTATCGCGCACCCCCAACATAAAAAATCGATATGTGCTTATTTATACACGAAAAAATAAACATTTTAAATCGTTCTCTAAATTATTTGAAATCCTCTTCTACTTGGGATTAAAAATGGCCTTAAAAAGTAATTTTGCCAACATTTGCAAAATTTGTTAAATTTTAATTTACCGAGAATAAAACTGTACATCTTCACCTTTTTCTCCCATCGCCTAAAAGTTAAAAGTTTGATTCGGGTGAAAATTATCAGCAAATGTACTTTTTCAGGATTCACTAATCTTCATTAACGTGAGTGCACGAAATAGTGTGGGCCATTTTGAATGCAATGAAAACCTAAAAAAGTTCAATGCCAACGCTTTAACAATTTAAATTGCCAACAATGTGGTCGGTAGAAATCTTATTGTAACTAGTGGTTTGTTGGCAGAAACATCTCGTCATGCGATTAAAATTTACCCAGTGACAAATTTGGATCTCTTGGGATCTTCAATGCCCAATATATATATATTGGGAGGAAGTCAACCATGATGAATGTAAGTTTGTGTTTCAATTGAGTGACCGTGTGGACAGACAGCCGAAGAAGTCAATCCTGAATCAATGAGTGTAAACTGTCATTGGTGAAAAGCACCGCGTGGAGGTAAGTCTATCGCACACCCCTAATCATGAAATATTTATTTATTTATTTCAAATGGCAGGCTTTTTGGGGGGGTTCATTTATAGCAATTAATTAATAGCAGTTCATTAGCCGTCTTCTTGCTTCCCGGTATTTCTGGCTTTCCGTCGTTGTCTTTAGGGCTGGACATCGAATCAGGTGGGTCTTCTCCATTTCCTCCTGTAGGTTACTTAGAGGGCATGTGGGTTGAGTGTATACTCCCAATCTGTGAAGATGTTTTGCCAAGCAATCGTGTCCGGTACGTAGTCTAAACTCAGCAACGGCTTCGATTCTTGGCCAGTCGGTTATATCGGAGAGTGCCACTGTCCACTGTTTCTCCTTTGTTCGAACTTTAAGTTCGTTGCACCTTGCGGTGTGGAATTCTCTTCTGATTAAGTCCTTCATTGTGTGAAAAGACATCGGCCGGTCCACGCATTGCAAAATCGTTGTCCCCTTCTTAGCAAGTGTGTCAGCAAGCTCATTGACATTGATTGTCTCAAGGGTCAGTGAGCGCACTTGCTCTGGATGGGTGTTTGATTTCCTGAAGAAGTCAAGCAGTTGGGTGCAACACACTACATCAGTGTCTGCTAATGGGTTCATGGGGGGGAGAGAGGCTTTTTGGTTTGCCATCGATTTGTAATGCTTTCTTCAGTTCTATGGCTTTCTGTTTTATACCAGATTGCATTTTCAGATGTCTTGGTCTATTCTCATAGGTGCTGAAGAACTTGTCCATGGGAATGGGCAGTAGCTTCTCATACAGGATCAAGGCCTTCTCTTTGATAAGGGAACATATTGTGGTGCTTCCTGTAACTAGGAGCATTGAATCAATGGGTGTTGATTTCACCCCTCCAGTAATTAGTCGTAATGCTTGGTTGTGTGCCTTCTCGAGGGGTTTGAGAGTCACCTCTGTGGCTGTAATGAGTGGCTCACAGCAATACAACATTATTGGCTGAATAAACATCTTGTAAGTGGTGTTGAGAGTTGAGCGCGCACAGCCCCATACGCAACCAGCAAGACGCTTCAGTACATTCAGTCTATTGGAGACTCGTTCTGCNGGGCCAAAGAAAATGTTTGGAATGCAGTTTTTGCGGTGTTAATTACCATTCCATTGTTGTCGCACCAGTTTGCTAGTAATTTAAGTGCACAATTTAGGGCACTTTCTGTCCTCTCCTGAGCGTTTTTCTTAGGGACGGAATACCATAGTACCAGATCATCTGCATAAGTAAACACTTGATGCCCGTGACTGTCTGTACCAATTCGGCTATGTCATTGATGAAGACATTGAAAGAGTGCAGCTTGTGACAGCTCCCTGTGGAAGGCCTGTTTGTAAAAGATTGGATTTTGATAGAGCATTTCCGTATCTGACTTTACACGATCTTTGTCCAATGAATGCTTTTATCCAGTTTAGCATGTTATGCTTAATACCAATCTTTGCCAATTTTAGAATTAGCCTCTCTTTCCATACTAAGTCATATGCTGATTTGAAATCGACGAAAACAGCCGTAAGGGTATTTCTTGCATCAAGGGCATCTTTGATGTGTTGGGAGAAAGTGGCTACTTGTTGGTTCGTTGATCTTTGTGGCCTGAAACCTGCTTGTTCACTCCTAAGAATATTGTTGGTCACAAGGAACCAGGTCAGCCTCCTGGTTACCATTCTTTCCATAAATTTAGCCAACACGCTTGTGAGGGAGACAGGCCAATAGTTGTCAAAGTTGCTAGGGTCTTTGCCCTTTTTAGTACTGGTATTACTATGGCAACTTTGCATTGGTTAGGTACGAGACTGGTCTTCCAGATTGTGTTGAAAAGCGTCAGCATGGTTTCCTTGGCTGTTGGTCCCATTCTAATTAGAAATTCCGGATGAATACCGTCTTCGCCAGGAGACTTCTTGCACTTTAGCTGTTTTATCGCAGCATTAAGTTTGCAAGGTCTGAATGTTTCAGTAAGTACATTATTTGGTGTTGCTATGTCTTCCTTAATTTCACCAAACTGTCTTACTTGTATCATTAAATCTCTTGAAGATTTTTTCTGGTTTGACTTAGATTTATCATGAAATATTTGTACTTTGAATTAACACGTCTCCTTTTGAAAGGCTATTAAGGCAATTTTATTCAACAAAACGAATCGTGTCTTGGGGAATTTCATTCACGCTTGTTTGAACTTAAGGTGATAAAAGAGGTTGCTTTGGATGTAAAAACGCTATGATTGATGGATGTGAAGTTACTATACCGATAAGCGGAAATTGTGTATATTTATTAAATTAAACAGAATAGGTTCGATTCGCTTGTGGGACACGTTATCGCTCTGTGTGCGTCACCGTATGCCTGCATGTCTGCTCGCCAGGATTGGGAGGTGCGGCCGTATAACTCTGTGTGCAGCGACCGTACAAACAGTGACCAATCATCAACCTCTGTTTAACCTAATCCCCCATCCTGATCATGAGTACCTCCCTGCGTGTACACACTTGTACTCGTACTGAATAAACGTGCTCCGTGCTACACGTCTGTTTCCTTGATAGCTGGGCTATAGCTTAGCTGGTCCTGGGAATCTTGCTAGATGTAGGAGGATCTGCCATAGATATTTCTGAGTCAGTCAGGCCTTAATATAGTAGCAATCCGCAACACGCTTAACCAGCTCTGTTAGTCTCACCCCCGATAACTTTTTGAGGTTGGCTAAGAATAAAATCAAATCATTTCCTAAAATTTAATGACATTGGAGGAAAAATTATAAACCTGTAATTTAATGACCACTACGCCATAACTGTTGGTGTTGAATTCACTCAGATTTTTTTAAAAATCAATAACTGAATTCAGAGGACTTTTTCTTACCCTGAGAGATTGCAACGACTGATCTACATTTTTTCCTCAATTATCAGATTATCACGTAAACGTTGGTTCGCACTTTTGGTAACACTAACTTAAAGGTCATATAACCAACAGAATATTGGAATTTGAAACGCCCTTTAAGAGTGCATATTACTGTTTTGTTTTAAATGCATACAGTGGAATATGGAATGGAAAACATCGTATAAGTTATGGGATCAAGTCCTGAAGGAAATTGTTCGATTGGGCTCCAAATAGAATTTGAAAGCGCCCCAGCTCTGAACTGCACCATGAATTTTTTGAACCTGCGCATTTCAGACGCACGGTACGATATTTAACCCCCTTTTCATACAGTGACCCCAACGTTTTCATTTTTCTTTTAAGGTCAGAAACTTATGACTTCCCCAATGCTAATAAAATTATAAAATTGTCACCTGCAGTCATTTTTTAACATCCCCCCCCCTCCTTTTCAAATTTTCAATTATTTTTTGTGTTTCCTGTTAACTAACGATAACTGACCAATTAGAGCCTCTCTTACTCTAAGACAGACACAAAGGCAGAGAAAAGGTGAGGTGAGTACTGTGAAGGGGTCGAATATGACATCCAGTGGGGTGATGGTAGTTTGAAGTCAGAAGTCAACTGCCAATTAATAGACTGTTTTGCGGTACGAGTATACGTCGCACATATTTCTGAGAGATTAAATTTGTACTTATTCATAAATATTGATTTTTTTTTACACCCTTTAATTGATGCATTATTTACCGCTGGCAGGCGAACAATTGGCACACAAAATCTAATTTCCCAAACAACTTATTCCATGAACCCAAACAGCATTGTCGCAGTTTTAAAAGTCTTAAATATTAAATTATAAAAGCTGAATTTGTTGATTGTTCTCTTGATAATGAAAGCGGCATATATTATTTCCACTGACAATTTTTTTCAATTTGAATCATTAAATGCTGGATAGGAAAAACTTTCAGTAAATTGTTCAAATTTAATCATTTCACTTCAGTAGTACGTCCCATTTTTCCTGGAAAATGCCTATGTAATATCATAAATGTGTAAATTCAAGATAAATTTTGCAGAATAACATCGGCGTGAATCATGGAAGAGAAGAACATGTTCTCTGATGATTTGGTATGATCGTTGTTCAATGATCCTTAAATGTTGTAAAGACAACCAGACGTGAACTAGAGAACCTCAATGTGGATTCAAAGAAGAAATCCGAACAAAAAGACCATTTTCTCGAAAGTCTACTATCGAAAAGTGTTATGATATTTCAGCCTCTTTCCAGAAGCCGGCGCTAAATGAATGTCTTGGCTGCGACAATCAGGGTGCGAACTTCCGTCTGGAGACTGTTGTCTGATAAAGTCGAAATAACATACGGCTGAGGTGCAAACAATCTGGTCCCTTTCAATAGGAGGAGCTACTGTCAAGGCCAAAAGCTTAACTCGAATAACATCGGCCGGGTTGGCTTGTCCACAGTCCAAATGACAATCTTCGAGTTGTGAAGACTCGATTTCCCACCCCAAACCCCCCCCCCACCGTCCAAATCGCCAGGGTTTCTTAAAGTGTTTCCGTCTTGCAAGATGATGCGATGCCACTGACCACTGTTGGAATTAGGTCCTGGATATAACGACCGAGGGTAGCGGAATTCTCTCCACCTCCCCTCCCCCCCCCCCCCCCCCCCCCCCCGCCTCCCTTCTCCCCACCCTGGAGGATTAGTCAAAATTTTGGTGCGAGCCAATTTTTATGACTTTACCTGGCCCAATGCACTTTCGGGATCAGAACTCCTTTGCCTTCCCAATTTTAATCTGATGGATGATTAAATACTCATTGTGGACGCTTAAAAAGGAGGAGGAGGTGGAGCAATCGCCGCGTCAGGCATGAAAGTGAATCCGAATCGTTTAGCGGGAAAGAATGTGACATGTTTTCCAGAGCATTCCAGGGGAAATTGCAAAGTGACCTTTCTTCATCCGTTTTCGGGGTTACGGCCCGTTCGATGCTGCAACAGACGCCAATGGTGCTTATTTTGATTATAACTCCATACGAAGGTCGAGTGATTTCCTTGTCCATTGAGCCTCTTGTAAAGTCTACCTAATTTTGTAGTTGTCAACCACTATTTTGCTAATTAGATTGTGCATATACTATAAAAGCGTAATTATATTTCCCAAAAAGGGACGTGCGATAGACTTATCTTCACGTGGTGCACCCTGGGCGACGTATACTCATACAACATTAAACGTCTATTAACTAGAAGTTGACTTCTGACTTCAAACTACCATGACCTCACAGTATGTCATTTTCAACCACTTCTACAGTACTCACCTTACTCTTTGCACTACCTTTGTGTCTGTCTGCCTCTTTTACATCTGTGAATCACTCTTCTGTCCCCCCCCCTCTCAACTTTTTCTCACTTTTATGTTTCTCCGCCTCTCTGTGAAGCCCGAAGTCAGCTAAAGGGCTAATGGTAACACTCAAAATGCCTGACACTTGAAATAAATATATAATTATTTACCAAAAAACATAAAATAAGAATCTTGGAATGCAAAGGGTTAGCTAACTCATATGGTATGTTTATGACCATGAGCGGCTGTCCTTCATACATTCACAGATATCAACAGACAAATTAAATTGAATTAGAGTGCACGGAATCCTTAATTTGACGGAGTGTCAATTCCCGTCAATGCCATTTTGAAGGATCATATCAAATGAATTTTCAAGTTCGTTTAGAGGAATGGAATACAGAAAATACCCCCTCCCCCTTCATCCACAATTTCGACATTATATATTTATTTATTAGTTATTTCAAATGGTAGGCGTTTTGATAGTAATCGTTAGCCCTTTAGTTGACTTAAGTCTTTACGAAGGGGATTAGGATCGAAGTCACAAATAGTCAATAGTGGAAGCAAAAGAGCGATCCACGGGTGTAAAAGAAACAGGCAGACACAAAGGTAGAGAAAAAAGTAAGATGAGTAGTGTGGAAGTAGTCGAATATAACATACAGTGGAGTCATGGTAGTTTAAGTCAAGGTCAACTGTCAGTTTATAGACATTTTTGCCGTATGAATATACGTTGCCCAGGGTGCTCCACATGGAAGCATGACTATTCCACATCCCACGTT